TTATAATATATAAAATCATCATATATATATATTTTACATACATATATATTGTTATACATACATATATACCAAGATAGACTATATATAATATTATATACATGGTTTGTAGTGGACAACTATATACATTCTACATATATATAAGTTATTATTTGTATTCTTATAATTAGTATTACAGTTAGTAACATATGTTGATTAGTCAAGCCTTTAGAATTCCTATATACATAAAGACTATATTGTTATGTTTTTTACATACATCTTATATATATATATTATATACATACATATATATATAATTTAACATTATTATATATAAATATTTTACTAAGTGGGTTAGTTTCAGTGTTATGTGCAAATGTTTATGTGTTGTGTGTGATAGAGGTTTAGAAATATATGCCTAATTTGGTTTTAACCATTACATTGAATGTGTGAACCAAATAATCTTTCTAGATATATATATATTATGGTTGCAAATTATACATATATATATATATTGAATAGTGGTATTTTTATATACACTATTTTATACAGACATATAAAATATATGTTTATTGAAATACATATATATATTATATACATATATATACATATTTATTTATATTTTATATATATTATACATCTTTTATATTTTATTATATACATACATATTATATTTTATTATATAACCATAGGATTTTATATTTTATTATAATATATTATATTTTAGTATATATAGGAAATTGAAAATTGAATATATATATATATTTATACATACATTTATATAGTTTATATGTCTCAGGAATATATATATATTATATACATATATATATATATATATATATATATATATATATATATATATATATATATCTTTTATATTATATATAACACACACAAGGATTTTAGTATACACGACAAAGATAAAAAATAGAATGTTAAGTAATCTCAACTGTTTAACCCTTATGGAAATCTTGAAAAAACTGATGTACAGAAACAGTATCAAAAAATTATTATAGAGCAATTATTAATTACAATGTAATTAAAATTCGTTATCCAATATGATATATGGCAAGATTCCACCATATTTAATATAGACAAATAAAATGAAGGTGGACAACATCAAATATGAAAAATGAATTATAATTTTGAAAAAATAAGGAGTTTGAAAAATGAATGGTAAGAGAAGGGAGGAGGATATAGGCAATGGAGAAAAATTGAAAAATGGAGGGGAAGAGAGAAAAAGAAAAGAGAATAAATTTGAGAGGGGGGACCCTTTAATGTTTAAAGGAGGAAATTAATATGAAAAATTTTCAAATTGACACCACTTGGGTGACCTTTGGTTTTATTTAACATGTTAACTCTTATTCAAATGAGGAATTACATAAGGAAATAAAATGTTTAAAAATTTAGGAAACCTTTTTTTAGATAATATTAGGAAATTTTAATGATCATGATATATAGTGTAAAATTTTAGAGGAGTATTGATTTTATTTACTTAAAATTTATATATATATATATATATAAATATATATATATATATTTATATATATATATATATATATATATATGTTAATAAATATGGACCCTCCGACAGTTTTATTAACCTGTATTCTATATTGGGGTTAGAAGATTAACATGCCTTTATTGAAATTATTTCAGACAAAATCAGTAAAGGTACAAGTTATGATTGGTTTGGTTACTGGGTACCAAAGAATTAGAACAGAAACATTAATAATGAGGGAAAGGAAAGTATAATCAGGAGGACATTAGATTTCATGGGATATTGCATTTAAATATTTGAAGATTAAAGTTCATGTGGAAAACAATTTGGAAGGAGTTCCACAAGCAAGGCAGTAAAGCCACTAAGACACAAAGGGTTACTGGGTGGAAGAATTAGGAACAGAAACATTAATAATGAGTGGGAAGAGGAAAGAATAATCAGGAGGACAGTAGATAGCGATTGACATTGTATTTAAATTTTTGCTGTTGGGTGAAAGTATGAAGCTGGAAGAGAGTTCCACAAGCAAGAAGTGCGAGAAAAGAAACTGTTAGCATAAAACTTATGGCTTCATCTAGCCAGCTGAACTGTCAATTGATGTGATCTCAATGCCAGTTTAGTGTTGCACTTAAATTCATGGAGTTTAGGTACCATAGCAAAGAGTTCATTTGAACAATTACCATGAAAGTATTTATAGAAAAGACACAGTGAGGCAACCTTTTGGCAGTGGGAAAGTGATTGAAGCTGAGCTGCCAGACCAAGACCAATAATATTGCTGATTCTTTTTTTGATTTTATCAAAGGTTTTCAGGACAAATAAAAGGGGCACCGGGAACCATATGTGGCAGCAATAACATCAAGAATGGATAAATGGTAGACTTATAGATATTTAAGATAGATTCTGGAGAGAAAAACTGTCTTGCTGATAACGACACAGTGAACCTACATTTTTAGCAAGGACTTTATTTTGATTCATGTTTGTTACTGGATTCAGGATAAGAGATTGGATGTTCCCTTCCAGGAAAAAAAAATCCTTTTAATTTCACTAAAAAAAATACGGAAGGAAAAATGGATATTTACCACATCCCATATTGCATACTGTCGTTCACTTAGCTTTGAGAAGCCAGTTGTGAAGATACGATTAGTATCTCCAAGAAACACTGATTTGGATGCTTTTACACCCTGGTGACCTGATCCATCCTGGAATAAAAAGACATAAAGAATAGACAATGGTTGTTAGCACACATTTTTGCATGTGTATATAAATATACATATGAAGTGGACAAAGTCTGACAATTATTTTAAGACATTTTTATGTTTATACATTACTATTCTTATAGATACAAATAAATGTAAACATCGGTTATAATAAAACAGTATTAACATCTCGTAAATGCCCGGTTTCAAACCTCGGTAGTAGATGCACACTTGATGAGTCCCAAATGTGTTGATTTAAATGGTCGGCCCAGTGCTTTCTGCATTTATGTTGAGGTTTCTTTTTTTATAAATCAATTACTTAATATATATATATATATATATATATATATAATTTCTATCACTTGTATAAAATATGCTTGAATCGATTTTAAAAGTTCTGAATAGAGCGGCTTGTTGGAAGTAAAAAGCCCTGAATTTAATTTTTATGGGTAAAGAGAAACATTAGTTCCCAGAATCCCTGCTGGAAAAGTTGGTATGACATTAAAATCATCTTTTAACTGTCCAGGTAAAACAAAATTCATGTAGGATGTGCACTACTGATGAGTCCCAAAATATAGGACTAAATGGCCGTCCATATATATGCATTCAGTTGAGGTTTCTTCTAGACTCTGATCAATTACTTAATTATAATTATCTTAAATCCTATATATAGTTTATATTACACAGATATATATTTTAAGACATTTTATGTTTAAACATTCTTTTTTTATAGATATAAATAGAAAGTAAATACCTGTTTATAAAAAAACAGTATTAACAACATTTAAGGGCCTGATTGTTAGAGAAATTTTCATAGAAATTATGTGTCCTCTGACAGGAATTGAAACTGTATCCTATAAAGAACCGCCATATAGCCTGACATGCTTTTTAACAATTTTACACAGAGGAGGCCGTTAAAAGGTCGATTTTACTGTTTTTAAACTACAATTTTCCATGGTTTCCTCACGTACATTCATATCTGTTCAAAGCGTATCCAAATGTAAACAAATGACGTCACACATAGTCATGTGTAAGTATTGTTAGGGATAATAGCTCAAAATGACAAATCAGAGAGCTGAGTTTGAATTCCAGTCAGGTTTGTTAAATTCACTTACATGCAAATATCCTATTAAAAGATATGAATCTACCTCTTCTCCCCAGCTATGGGTTAAATAGGACATATATTTGAAAATCATTATTTCCAAAGTTCCCCAAAATTAATACAAATAAAAAAAATAAAATAAAATATAATTCTTGCAATCTCAAACTGTTTCAGCTCTAAATAACCTATAAAAGGTTGATATCCTGTAAAAAATAAACCACTCGATCAAAAAAAATAAAAGTTTGGATTTAAAAGAAAACAAAACTGTTTACTCACCACAGCAATTTTAGCACCTCTTGGGTCCACGACTCGAATCTTTTTATCTTTACTGGTTGTGACAAAAAGACTTCCTTCTCTGTTCCAACTAATTGAGAACACAGTATCATTATGGCAACTGATTATGTTAATTGGTTCAGCACGTTCAATGTTCCACAAGAAACACTGCAAAGAAACAAAACAAAAACAAAAAAATAGGTTAGATGATAAAAATATCCCGTGGACAACCTTGAATCCAAAAATTGGAGCCTTAGTAAAATGATGAGACTTAATAATCTAACCTTAAATTCATCTGGTTTAGGTACCAAGGAGGAAAGCTCATTCATTTGCCATGAAAATATTTATAGAAAAGGCAGAAGGAAACCTTGTGATGGCGGTTGGAAAGTGGCTGATATCAAGATGTCATTTCAGGACTAATAACATCACAGACCCTTCTTTTGATTTTGTCAAGAATCTCTTGATATATAACCGTAACACTAGACTAGATATGGCAACAATATTCGATGAATGGTAGATTTACTAATCTGAATAAATATGTCGAATTATTACACAAACACACATAATATATATATATATATATATTACTCAACTCTCCCGTCGAATTCGACGTATGAGGGTCAAGCAGATCAGTTCCTAGGAAACCGACAGCACATGAGATTTGATTATAGTGGTGAAGGTTTCGTGCAGGACCATCCATACTTTTTGAAGGGCCAATTACAGAGACCTGGTGCACTACGTGCCACAAGATCCACAAACGACTCTCTGCAGGTTTTGAATTCAGAGTTGTCCTTCTCCTAGACCAGTTGCCATCCAATGCTATAGAACCCAGTCTGTCCTGCTATTTACCCATAGCTGGAGGGAGAAGAGGAGGATTCACACCTTTCCCAAGGATATTAGCACGTAAGTGAATGTAATGGATTTGACCTCAGCTCTATGATTCCTCAAATCCAAG